CACCAGAAAATGTAAACTTCATTATCTTGTACCAACTACACTGAGCAATAACAGATGACAAGTTGAAAGAGTTATCACAAGCTGTGAAAACAGGAATAAATTACTATAAACATGTATATAACAAAACTATAAAGCAATAAAATACTATTCTTATCACACCAAAGAATGAAATATTTGAAAGTCCTTAAAAAAAATCTAGAAGTAGGAATAGTAAAAGCACAATGATAAATCAGGATGTAACTCTGTGCCGAGGAAATGGCGTGGTGTGTGGAGACAGGATATGGAACAGGAAAAGATCTGTGGTTTGACTAGATGAAATGTGTCATAGTGCACCAAAATTACTAATTCACACTCAATATATTCCATTTACAAGATGAAAGAGGCAGGAAAACACAAAAGTATGACTGGCTGGCTAATGGAGAAGAGGCCCTACATGAGAAATTGGGGTATGAGGGCAATATCAAGTCATTAGTGGATGCTACATAAACCTCACTGACAATAAAAAAGCATGCCAGTTTTTGATAAGCCTTCCATGATCGCAATGTATGGTAAAGTAGATTATATTGTGTGCTTTCCTATGACTGTCTGGAACAAGACTTTACGAGTTAAAATCAACACTTAACAGTATGTAGCCGAGGATGAGGAAGGAAAGAGGCAACAGGAATGCTGTTGATGATATGTTTCTTTGTTTTTTATTTATTAATCTTTTATTTATTTATCATTATTTTCTTTTTACATAATCTAATAAATTCCATAGTCATTTTCCCTGCTTAAACAACTGACTGGAATCTAATCTTTGGCTCTAAGTGGCTACAAACATTTTAAAAGCCTTGAAAACTTGATGAAGACTGTAGCTTATCAAATACAAATACTAGCATTACATTGCAAATTCAAGGCAATTCCCATGTTCACCAATTAAAAACCAGATTTGCAGGTCTGAGCTCCTCATTAATGTGCAGCTCTTCCTCATTAATCTCATAAAAGGTCAGCCTTGATTAGATATGCCTCATTTCTTTTTTATGGTAGGAATCATTCAAAAATTAAGATTGGGAAGAAACTGAAAAAAGGAGGAGAAGGAGAAGGAGGAGAGGAGAGGATGATGGAAAAAAAGGAGATTGATAAAAAAGAAAAAAAGAAAAAAAAAAATGTGAAAGCAGATAATGAAAAGGAAATGGGATATGAACAAAATCAAATATATGAGAAAGAAAAACAAAAGGAAGAGGAAAAATAAGAGGAGGAAAAAAATAAAGAAGGAATAGGATATAATAGGGAAAAAGTAAAAAAAAAAAAAAAAATAATAATAATATATATATATATATATATAATATATATATATATATATATATATATATATATATATATAATATATATATATTTCTAACTGAAAGTCAAATCTCAGAAATTGCTCCAAAGCTATTCTAACAACTAATAAAATCAATACAGTTTTGAATTTACAGTCAGTGTATCAATATCATCTGGTGACTAAGCTGACATACATCAATTTCAAAGAACTTTTAGCCTTCCTTACAGTAACAAAATAACAACAACCGTATCTCTAAAATGATGTACTGATCTGGCTTATCATTATCTGACTATAGACACTGATAAAGACTTTTACAACATAGGGACTGTTATAATAAAATCTCTCATTGCACTAAAATCTGGAGCTATTTAACACTAATATCCCTGACTTTAATCCCACTCCTTGTACACCTATTAAGAAATCTATCTAGTAAATAAAAATGCAGCAATCCCATGAACACAGAAAATGACAAAGAAAATGAAAAGAAACCCATAAAATGTGTGTATATATATATATATATTATATATATATATATATATATATATATATATATATATATATATATATATATATATATTATATATATATATGCACACAAACATTATATAATATATCATTTATATATTCTACATATATATATATATATATATATATATATATATATATATATATATTATATATATATATTAATGTATATACATCTTAAAATAATCTCCATAACAATCATACTCCAAGGTCCATCAGTACAATCTTATTATGCACTCAAAAGAAAATTATATTTATTCCTTTTAACACAATTTAATAATATATGTCTCAAAAATTCTGCATGATACTCAAAGACATTGGTCTAGAAACCACTTTCTCCCTACAACTAAGAAGAAAAAATAAAAAAGGACATAACTAGCCAATAAACAGATAAAAAGGCTAAATAGATACTGCCGAAGAACAAACAGAAGTGGTAATGTACAAAAATAAACAGGAAACTTTCTTGAGGATTTTATACATCTGGAAATTTGACACAGCTAAAAGAAAGAAGAGCGAGTAGTGCTTTGCAACTCTTGCATATGAATCAACATGATCATTTTAAGCAGTGTTTTTGCTGACCCAGGATTTTTTAAGTGACCATTACCAGCTTTAAATGACCATGCACGCAAGAATTACAGAGCACTCATTTTGTAACAAAAACAAAGAAAACTG